TAACGCCAGTGGCACTAGTAGACGAAGCTTTGAATGTAAATAAATAATAAATAAGCTGCTGAGCTAGTACGACCATTTTACACGGCATTATTTCGTTCATACAGTCATGCCAAATAGCCAATGATTTAGTTAAGGCACAAAAAAATTGGCAGGGCAGCACTTTCTGTAGGTCAGGCAATTTAAGAGACACCTGAGTGGACATTTGTGTTTAATCGCTGGGCTTAGCTGAATGAAAGTATCATAATGTTTGGCGGATTGGAAACATAACAAGGCAGTGGTCAGCCGCAAATAAATACATTTTTCTGCAATCTCTATCATTAAATTAGTGGCAATTCTTTCTGTCTTCATTGATTTACTGTTCATGTGACACTGAAAATGTGACCATGCCGACAGGAAGGCCGATGGGAAATGTAAATCCGAAGAAATGCATATAGAAAGATAGCCCAAAACAAAAAAATCAAATTAGATGAGAAACATCCTGAAAAGCTAAGTTCAGATATGCCAACTAAAGATGAGAATAAAATTCATATGATAAACTGTAGCGGTAACGAGGAATTGAAAGAAAGCGTTCAGTAATAACATGAAACAGTTTGGGAAAACTCACGTAACGACTAAAGGCCTCATCGGAAAACTGAAAAATAGACGGAAATACCGTTAACGCGCGTAAATGAGGCTTGCGGTGCCCTCTTCAACGCTTAGGGATTGGACTTTATATCTGTGTATTATCTGGGACCAAACAAACATTAAAAAGCGTGTAAGTTACAACAGACCCCTTCACCTTGGATATTAGTCTTCGCCAACAAAAATATTGAAATGAAACGGGTATTAGCTTCCAAGTCCGTAAACGAGACGATTTACAAGACCACGTCCCTTCAAAAAACAGGGTCCTTTCATAGGTACTTAAAAGGTCCTAAGGAAAATTCCCGCCTGATCGATAAGCTTCAAGGGCACACACTTTCCTGTAATAAGGTGAATGAAAGAACTACCAGAAAATTGACACCGGTGACTACGAATATCCATTTAGTGCTTTTTAACGGTAATGGATACAGTGAATGACAAATAGCTAAGAAACGAATGGGTGGAAGCTAACGTCCAGATAATTCAAGTAAAAATACAAGTTAATGTTACATAATAGCTACTGTTCAAGTAGGGTATGGGAAAATATCACCTAAGCATCAAAGATAATTGCAAAAATATACTAAAGCTAGTGAAGTTCTGACTATCTTTGACAGTAACAAAAAGGCATCAAAAGGGAGATATACGACGAGATTTGTTTGATAAACTGACTCTAAACTTCTGTCTGCCCATAAGAAAGGGGACGACGGTGGTCCGCAAGCCTTCTGTGGTTTCTCTGTGCACAGTTTTAACTTCCAAACTCTGCCAACGAGACTGGAGCCATCGACGGAGGTTATCAGTAGGGAAGAAGTGTGGTTCTGTCGGAAGTAGAATTAAAAAACATGGTTCTGCTAGCCATCAAAAACGGAGAAACGACAAAAATCAATCGAATGACGAGACAAGGATACTACACGCTAAGCAAAGTCTTTAAGAAAATGTGATAGTTAATCTATCGTAAGCACCAAGGCCTATCATTGTTTTGGAGGCAAAGAAATAACGACGCATAAAGTTGGTCACAGCGAGGCGAGTAGACCACAGACATTTATTTATTGCTTGTAGTAAAAATTGGTTCTAGTCATCAGGTTACAAGTTGACTTTATGCCAAATTGAGATGATAAAACCAAAGGCAAGATCGGAAACAGTGCGAGGTTTTTATTCAACAGATGACAAGCAATCACTCGCACACGATATGCTTACATCAAGCATCCTGCCAGAATCATTTTATTAGTGGCGGGTGACACTTTTCATCTTATGCACATAATTACCTGCGACCAGCAACAGCCCATGTCGTATTTAATTAAGTGTGTCTTTTAAATAACTTGGTGAAAAGATACATTACTTTGACACAGTAAGCTAAAGATGGCTTCAGATTTACGGTAGACGTTTAGTTTTAAGACAGACAGTCATGGCTGCACACAAAATGGAAAATTATTGTGTACCTCGATCGGGATCGAAATGCATAAACTCGTTAAAATATTCATTTTTGAAGGGAGTCCGTTCCTTGCAAATATAGGGGATAATATCGTCGTGGAATGCATAGTCCATACCTAGACATAAAAAAAAACTAGGAAGTTCTACACACCAGAAACTATGTAAATTGTGTTGAGGACCACTTGTTCA